ATGCTCTTTCCTGATTAAAGAATGGATATGAGTTTCAATAGACATACTATGTGTACAGAATTTAGGACAGAGTCTGGAATATAATAAATAATAAATATATTCATTATTATTGCTCTGAAACCCAAAACTCATTTCCTTGTAATTTCCTCTATTGTTCCTACTCTTTACTCCCCCTATTATACAGCAATAAATTCCATCTCCTCTCTGATATGATAGTGCTTTAGATCACAGCAGCAGACAGTGCCATGTGCCTTTGAAGGATTGGGATCTCCTGAGAGGGCCTGGGACATAGGGAGTGACTGGGAGACAGTGAGGAGAGAGAATACTGAGGAATAGATAACAGTGTATAATGAGCGACAGAAAGTAGAGCTGAGGGAGGGCAGACTGTGTGTGTGTGTGTGTCCGTGTGATTGAGATTGAGAGAGAGAGAGAGAGAGAGAGAGAGACAGAGAGAGAGACAGAGAGAGAGAGAGCGCTCCATGCGGGAAAAGAAGTGGGGATGGGCGATGTGGTGAGACACCGCGGGGCCCACAGGGAAGAGCATGCGCAATGCGCAGCAGAGGAGGGCGGGGCATCAAGGAGCCTAAGGGCTTAGTACCTGGTGAAGGAGGCTGGGACTCCCGTACAGCCTGTTGTTCAGCCTTGTCGTCTCAAATCTATAGCACAGTGAAGACTCTATCTAATGCAGTCGTCCCTCAGCATCCCCGGGGATTGGTTCCAGGACCCGCACGAATGCTCCAGTCCCTTAGTTGGCCCTCTAGACACAGCACTGTGTGTAGACCGTCCTAAGACATTGCACTGCTGCCCTCTAGGGCACTATTCCATTAGGAGGAATAGTGTGGTGGCTCTGGGATCAGATTTGAATTATAATCTATTAACTCTGTAATTGCGGGAATTATTTGATTAATCTCAGTTTCCTCATCTGAAAAACTGAGACAATTATACTTACTTTGCAGGTTGGAGAGGTAGTTACATGCAATTCTAAATGTGGTGCAGTTAGAACCATGTGTTCAATAGATGCAGATTACTATTTGTACTTTCCAATATTACTTTCTTTTTAAAACCTCTCCGTAATATTTATCTACCATATACCAGCTATGACTCCTCCCT